CCTGGGCTTTTCTTTGTTGGGAGTCTTCTGATAACAGCTTCAATCTCCTTTATTGTTATTGTCTGTTTGGATGTTCTACGTCTTCTTGGCTCAGTTTTGGGATCTTGTGTGTGTCCAGAAATTTATCCATTTCCTACAGATTTTCAGATTTGTTGGCGTATAGTTGGTTATAGTAGTCTTGAATGATTCCTTGTATTTCAGATGTATCAGTTGTAATATCACCTTTTTCATTTCTAATTTTTCTTATTTAAATCTTTTCTCTTCTTTTTTTTTGTTGCCCAAGCTAATGGTTTGTCAATTTTATTTATCTTTTCAAAAAAACAACTTTTTGATTCATTGATCTTTTGTATTGTTTTTTGGGTTTCTATTTAATTAAGTTCGGCTCTGATCTTAATGATTTCTTTCTGTCTGCTAACTTTAGGTTTGGCTTGTTCTTGTTTTCACCTAGTTCTTTAAAGTGAAGTGTTAGGTTGTTCAGTTGTCATCTTGCCATTTTTCTGAAACAAGCATTTAATGCAATAAATTTCCCTCTTAGTACTGCTTTTGCAGTATCCCACAGATTTTGGTATGATGTATCATTTTTATTAGTTTCAATAAATTTTTTGATTTCCTGCTTGATTTCTTCTTGGACCCATATGTCATTAAATAGACTGCTATTTAATTTCCACGTGTTTGTACTTTATTATTGATTTCTAGTTTTAATCCATTGTGGTCTGAGAAAATACATGGGATAATTCCAATTTTTTTGAATTCATTGAGACTTGATTTGTGACCTAATATGTGATCTATCCTGGAGAATGATCCATGTGGTGATGAGAAGAATGAATATTCTGAGGTTGTTGGATGGAATTTTCTGTAGATATCTGCCAAGTCTGATTGGTCTAGAGTACTGTTTAGATCTTGTGTTTCTTTGCTGATTCTTTGCCTAGATGATCTGTCCAATATAGACAGTGGGGTGTTCAGGTCCCCTGCTATTATGGTATTAGTGTCTATTTCCTTCTTTAGGACTAGTAGGGTTTGTTTTATAAATCTGGCTGCTCCAACATTGGGTGCATATATGTTTATGATTGTTATGTCTTCTTGATGGATCAATCCTTTTATCATTATGTAGTGTCCCTTATTGTCTTTTTTTATGGTTTTTAGTTTAAAGTATATTTTATCAAATATTAGAATAGCTACTCCAGCTCGTTTTTCCTTTCTGTTTGCAAGGTAAATCTTTTTCCTACCTTTCACTCTTAGTCTATGTGAGTCTTTATGGGTGAGGTGGGTCTCTTGAAGGCAGCATATAGTTTGGTCCTCCTTTTTAATCTAGTCAGCCAGTCTGTGTCTTTTGATTGGGGATTTTAATCCTTTTACATTAAAAGTTGTTATTGAAAGGTGTTGACTTATTCCTAGCATTTTATTGATTCTTGTTTGGATGTCTTAGGTGTCTTTTGTTCCTTTCTGTCTGAGGTACTGTTTGTTTTCTGTATTTGTTGGTCCCTTGTATTGTAGATAGCCTTTTTGTTTGTTTGTTTTCTCTTCATGAATGCCATTTTTATTATACTANCTTGAGAATTTCTTGTAAGGGTGGTCATGTGGTGATGAACTCCTGCAGTTTTTGTTTGTCTAAGAAATATACTATTTGCCCTTCATTTCAGAAGGATAGCCTTGTAGGGTAGAGTATTCTTTGCTGGCAATCTCTGTCTTTTAGTGTTTTGAATATTTCATCCCATTCCTTTCTGGTTTTTAGGGTTTGTGATGAAAAGTCTGATGTTAGTCTGATTGTGTCTCCCTTATAGGTGATTTAACACTTCTCTCTTGCAGTTTTTAAGATTCTCTCTTTGTCTTTGAGTTTTGTGAAGTTGGCTATAACATTTTTTGGAGAAGACCTTTTTGGGTTGAATATGTTTGGGGACCTTTGAGCTTACTGAATCTGAAGATCTGTGACTTTTCCTATCCTTAGGATGTTTTCTGTCACTATTTTGTTGAATATGTTTTCAATGCAATATCCTTTTTCCTCCCCTTCTGGAATACCCATGACTCAGATATTTGAGTACTTAATGTTGTCTGTTATCTCTCTCAGATTTTCTTCAATGCTTTTGAATCTTTTTTCTTTTTTTTTTTGTCTGCCTGGGTTATTTCAAACAGCCCATCTTCAAGGTCTGAATTTCTCTCTTCTACTTCTGCAAGCCTGCTGGTTATACTCTCAGTTGTGTTTTTTATTTCGCTGAATGAATTCTTCAGTTTGGCAAGTTCTGCTACATTCTTTTTCAGGGCATTGATTTCCTTGTACATTTNTTTCTTTGATGTTTAGTCATTGTGGCAGGGGGTTTCACAGCCCACAGGTTTGACACTATTGCCTGACTAGGATGTTGCTGGGGTTGCCATTTGGTATGGCTACCTCAGTGTCTGCTCAGTTGGCCACTAGTGCCTTGTGTTTCTGGTTGCCTCAGGTTTTGGACCTCTCCAGGGAGCCACCATTCTGGTAAGCATGCACTCAGCAGGGCTGCTTGGTCACAGGGTGGTACTGCAGGGTGTGTGTCCTCTGTGGAGCTACCACCTCCCCTGCTGGATGACTCCCTGCTCCTTGCACACTAGGCCAGGCTGCTGGATTATGTGGCGGTGGCACCACAGGGTGTGTGGTCTCTGCAGAGCTTCTGCCTCCCCTGCTGGATAACTCCCTGCTTTGTGTGCACTGAGCCAGGCTTTTGGGTCATGTGGCAGCACCACAGAGCGTGTGGTCTCTGTGGAGCTCCCACCTTCCCTGCTGGATGACTCCCTGCTCTTCATGCACTGGCCTGGGTTGTTGGGTCACGTGACAGCACCACAGAGCGTGTGGTCTCTGCAGAGCTTCTGCCTCCCATGCTGAACATCTCTCTGCTCTGTATGTACTTGATGTTATCTTTTTATAGTTGTAAAGTGGTTGATTTGTGGGAGAGAGTGATGCTGGGGACCATCTATTCTGCCTTCTTGACTGGAAGTCCCTAAATATTTTACTTTTAATTCACATATGTTCTTACCCTTTGAATTTCAGAACTTACCCAGATTGAGAATCCAAGAGAATAGTGGCAACAAGAGCAGGAATGGATGTTGAAGGAATATTTAATTGTAGCCCACTAGGCTCTCACTGCCAAGAAGATCTACCCGATTAGGCAGCAGCGGTTAGAGCTGGCTCAGGAAGAATATCAGCAGCTGTGCAAAATGTGCAAGGACAACAGCCACTCACACATGAGCTGTGAGCTGAAGTATGTTCATCTTTGGGTAGCATGTGTTAAGATAGTGTGTGTGCCTTCAAAGCCGTCTCCCTGCTGGATTATCTGCAAATGCTGAACTGTACTCAGAAAGACACTGTACTTGGCAAGACAGCTTCAGAAAGCTTCTAATTGCTCACAGTTAGGCAGATGGTATCCTGCACTGCAATCATATGGTCACTGTAGATGCTCCTTTTGTGAAGATTTATCAGGTGTCTGCTTTGTGTCCAGGCACTGGGATATGGTGGTGACTAAAACAGGAAACTCTCTTCCCTCACTGAGCTTACATGCAGGTGGTGAAGGTAAAAAATAAACAAGCAAACAATAAAATTTTTGATAATGCCATGAAACAACCCTGTCTCATGTTTGTCAGTGTTGAGAAGGGCAATACTGGGAGGAGCCAAAGCATCCTGCTACTGGCACAGTCAGTGCTTTAGCAACAGAGTTGTCACACTCGACAGCCTACCACAGGTGCACTTGTCACAACTGTCCTGGGTTCGTTCCTGTGAGGTGGGAGAGAGCATATGATGTTGGTACCAAATCTCTTTGAGACATGAGGGCACTTACCTGTGACATCACTACCATGTTGTCAGGTATTTAGTTCTGGTAACACAGACTTAAACGTTAAGGACATAGCTTTATTCTGTGTTGCTAGTCATACTAAAATTAAGAACAATAGGTCATATTTCTTGTGTTGTCGTTTTTGTTCTGTTTTTTTTAATCGCAATTTTTGTTGAAAATAAATAAGCCATACAAGCCTCTGAAAATTATCATGGGGTTTTCCCTATGTAACAGTAATTTGAGATGTTTCTATAACCAAAAGCCCTAGGAGAGTGGAGAAAGCTCGGGTATAGTGGTTTGTTTTCAGGTTGTCTTATCTCTTTTCTTCTGATATGGGTAATGCTTGCTTTTTGGCTTTCAACCAGAATGATCACTGCAATCCACGTTTTTAGAGATTAGTTTCTTATTGATATTGTTTTCTTTTCTTTGCAATATCTCTCTAATTTTGTTATTAGAAGCAGAAGGTATCCTCTCTCTTTTCTTTTCTGAAAGAGTTTGTGTAGGGTTGTCATTGGTGCTTTCTTGAGTATTTGATAGAACTTACCACTAAAGCCATGTGGGCCTGGAGGTCTTAGTTGGAATAATTTTAACTACAAATTCAATACCTTTAATGAATACAGGGCTATCCATATGTTTTATTTCTTCTTGAAGCTTCTTTTAGTATTTTTGTTTTTCCCAAAGAATTTGTTTAGTTCATCTCATCTAAAATTCTGCAAACTTTTCTGTGAAGAATCAGAAATAAATATTTTAAGCTTGCTGGCCCATATTGGCTTGGTTGTAACAATTTGATCCCATTACAGTGCAAAAGCAGCTGGAGATAGTATATAACAAGTGTGTGTACATATGCTGTAGTAAAATTATAATAATAAACTGCAAGTTGGATTTAGTCCTCAGGAAATTTGCTGTTCCTTGATCTTATCCTTTCATCCTTTTAATGCCTATAAGCTCTGATGTGGTATCCTTTTTATTCCTGATAATTAATAATTTGTGTCTTCTGTATTTTCTTAATCTGTGTAAATTTTTATTTCATTTATCCTTCCACTGGTCTTTTGTTTATTATGTTTATGTATTATTTTTAATCTTTTCTATTTCTTTTTTCCTATTTTATTGATTTGTGTTCTTTATTATTTCCTTTCTTCTATTGAATTTGACTTCAGTTTGCTTTTCCTTTTCCAGCTTCCTAAAATGGAAATTTATTTAGGTCATTGATTTTAGATCTTTCTTCTTTTCTCACATAGCATTTAGCAGAATAAATTTGCCACTAGGCACTTCTTTAATTATACCTCCCAAATAATGGTATGTTGTGTTTTCATCTTCAGTTTAAAATATTTTCTGGTTTCCCTTAGGATTTATTTCTTGACTCATAGGTTCTTTAGAAGTACGTTGTTGGGACTTTATATAATGTCTTATTACTGATTTCTAATTTGATATCATTATGGTCAGAGCATATAATATGTAAAAATTTGATATTTGAAATCTGTTGAGATGATTTTTACAGCCCAGCATGTAGTCTCTTACTGATATCATGCGCCTGGAAACCCATTGACTTTTTACTCTGAGGTAAATATGTAACTGAAACATTTTATAACTTTGTTCTACGAGCACATAGTTACTAATTCTAAACCTTTCATAACCCTTTTCTTTATCTGGTTAAGGCAAGCTTGAACCATACAAAGTTATTTTTGTAGGTGAAAAGGGACTGAATATTGGCAATTTTATATTATTCAACTTAATAGTATCCAGTTACTCACAGTGTAGTCTTCAGTGTATGGTCAGTTTGGGTTAGGTATTTGATGAAGTGCTTAAAGCAGCTTTTCCAAAAATGGGATTGAAAAAGAATGTGTCAGAAAAACTTGAGAGGAAGTTTCTTGCCAGAAGTTTAAAAGAAAAATTAGGTCAGGATAAGTTTGTGTTGAGAACTGGCTACCACTATGATTGTCAGCATTTTAGCTGCAGTGGAATCTATACACTTCAGTATGCAAATATAAAAGTATAGGAGCCTGTCCAATTACAGACCCACTCTGAGGGAAAATGGGGCAGGCATGCATTTGGCCTGATTTAATTAAGATCCACTTAGGGATAGGACAATGTTGAATCTATAGCTTAAGCATTTTTTTTAATGTGTGTTTGTATGTATTTTATACACACACACACACACATATTGGTAGCTGGCTGCTAAGGGAATCCAAACCCTTGAACTTGGAGCGTATTTTATATTTGTGATAGTATGGTGCTAGAACATCAAGCAGGTTCACTTTTTGTTATTTTGTTGAGCACTTCACTTCCTTGACATTTGGGGAAATAATTGATTTACATTCAATTATGTTTCTTTCTGTTCCCTGGGGGGAATTTTATTAAGAAACAATTATGTTTCTTTCTGTCCCCTGTAAAAATACTTAAAATGTTCTCTTTGAACTAGCATAGATTTCTTTAGTGAGGAAGTCATGACAATGTAGTATTGACTTGAGATTCAAATGTTCTTGTCGGATTCCAGTTCCCAATCTGCTAGACATCTCTGGGTGAACACAATCTCTGCTTCCATTTGTTTAGGTTGCTTTAGAGGCAAGATTGGGCCTGCCTGTTTTTACAGAAAGGGATATAGTTGCTGGCAGATCTTGCTAGGTAGATTATGAACACAGTCTAGGAGTTAAGTGGTTTATGAAGTTGCTGCTGTCCCTAGGGTTTTGACCAAGATCTTATGAGGAAACCCTACTAGACATGATCAATTGAATTATTTCAGTTCAAGACTGAGATCTTTGCATTTTCAAGATCTAACAGATGTCAGAGGTGTTGGGCCTATGTCAGGAGCTGCTGGTGGTAGTATTCTGTTAAACTTCTCTCTGTGTAACAAAGATGCAAAGAAGATTACTGAAGCTACGTGAATGCAGTGAGAAGCCCAAAGGGACTGCACCTGAGCACCTCCTCTATTAGTAGGAGAAAAAGGGTACAGCCCTGGTTCAAAGTTAGCTTCTGTGTTTAATGTAAAGACAAGGAAGTTTCACAAAAAAAAATCAGTTGATTCAATCATTTCAAAGTGGCAAAGTGACAACGTGGGCAACATGACAAAAGTTATCCATAGCTAAGTATAGCTTAAACAATGGAACTAGTATCATCATGAAAACTAACAGTGTGATATTCCAAAGCATAATTAATGAAATGTTAAGCTAATTACATGTGATCATTATCTTTACTTAATATGTAACTATTTTTATCACAGCTAAAACAATCATTACTTCCCTACGATTCTCTCTTTGTCTGTGATTGCATCTGAAGTTTCCATTAGCAAAAAGTTTTCCCTTCAGCAAACATTTCTTACATATTTACCTATAGCAATTCTTTAAAATCTCTTAAGTCTTCTGGTCAATATGGCAGAGTGGACTGTTTCTATTGTCTCTCTCTCACAAATTAGCCAATTTACAACTGTTACAAAGCAACAACAGGAGGCCCAAGAGCCATGCTGGAACAGGCAGGAGTTGTGCACCATGGGACCCCACCCCAAGTCAGTCCCCACCACCTAGAGAGGTCTGAGAGCTGCTGGGTCCACATGCCCTGAGTCCGCTGCACCAGAACAGGCAGGCACTGTGGGATCCCCAGCCCAGGCCAGTGCCTGCTGCCCAGGGAGGCCTGAGAGCCACTGGTCCACATGCTCTGAGTCACCTGCACTGGTACAGATAGGCGCCATGGGACCCCCACTCCAGGCTGGTTCCTGCTGCTGAGAGAGGCCCAAGAGCCACTGGGCCCACACGACCTGAGTCAGCAGTGCCAGAATAGGCAGGTGCTGTGAGACTCCCAGCCCAGGCTAGTTCACACAACCCAGAATTGGCAGTCCCTTCAGAATCCAGGCCAGACATCAGGGTGGAATGAGTGGACTGTGACACCATACACCACAGTGACTAAACACCAAAGGAAAGATACCAGAAATATGAAAAATCACAAAAGTACATCACCACCAAAGGAAAATAGTAACTCTCAAGCTCTAGATCATGTTGAATAGGAAGTCCTTGAAATGAATGACAAGGAAATTTGAGCAACAGTTCTAAGGAAACTAAATGAGATACAAGAAAACTTAGTTAGACAACACAATGAAATGAGAAAAAATATACAGGACCTGAAAGAAGAAATGTACAAAGAAATCTATGCCCTGAAAAAGAATGTAGCAGAGCTTGTGGAGCTGAAGGATTCATTCAACAAAATAAAAAACACCACTGAGAATCTAACCATCAGACTAGAACAAGCAGAAGACAGAATTTCTGACCTTGAAGACAGGCTGTTTGAATTAACATAAGCAGACCAAAAAAAAAAAAAAAAGAAAAAAAATTAAAGAAATCTAAGACAGATAACAGACAACCTTAAGCACTCAAATATCTGAATCATGGGTATTCCAGAAAGGGAGGAAAAAGGAAATGGCATTGAAAGCATATTT